ATATCATAGGAGGATTACAGCTCGAGGGTTCGAGCACGAGTGATTCCAGGATTCACGATTAGCGACTTAGCGAGGCATACGAGGTGAGTCTTCTCACTATACTGTACCCGAAAGGGTTTGACTATGTGACCGGAAGGTCGATTATGATATGAGATATATGTTATGTGTGATAAGTTATTCGTTATATGTGCCATGTATGATATGCTTGATTTGGGCCGGAAGGCAACATGTTATGGGCCGGAAGGCGTGGTCATATGGACCGTAAGGTTGACGTGGGTAGGACCGGAAGGTTTACCCAGTCGGGACGGAAGTCCCCTGAGACACATGGACCGGAAGGTCAAGGCCTGGAAAGGCGTACGTGCGTAGGTTGTATTTTGGGGAACTCACTAAGCATTTATGCTTACAGTTGTTGTGTTATGTGTTTCAGGTACTAGCGAGGACCGTGGGAAGGCACCGACGTGATCGTACACACACTCGGGGAAACCATTTTGTGATCTTTTGTTATGTAATCGGTTGTGACTAAATTGTTACATTGGAACCTAAACTTATTACTCATGTTTTGATGATTGTAAAAATGAAAAAATTTTGGTTTGGAATTTTATGACGTTACATCGCCGAGTTCCATAAATCATAAATCCATGGAATCGCGATCCAACTCATCGAGTTCTTTCATGAACTTGTCGAGTTCCTCCCTATCAACATAATTGGGACTTCTAAAAAGCAACTCGTCGAGTATGTCCTTGAACTCGTCGAGTTCTTCATTTTAACATAATCGAGACACTTCGACCCAACTCGTCGAGTTCCTCTATGAACTCGTCGAGTTATTCAGTCTGTTAAGCTTTCTTAATGTATTAAGCCATCACTCTTCGAATCTAAGTCCCATATTCCATATATAGGCCAAATACACATCTAGGAGGGTAGAGTTTCTAACTCTACCCATTAAGACCCATCAAAGAAGAAATGAGCCCTAACCCTAACTCAAAATGGCTTAGATCCAACTCTAAAAGCCATTAAAACTTCAAGATAAGCTATAGGGTCATAGATCTAGAGTCTATGGAAGATTTGGTCATGTAAAGTTCCTATCTTCACTTGCATTCATGACCTACTTGGCTCAAAAGACCAAAAAGATGGTTTAGAAGTTGCATGGGACATCCATGGCCATAAACTTGGCACCTTTATTTCATGACGTCCCCTCAAGACCCTAGATCTGAAGGGTTTACCCACATGGGACGTCCAAATCCCAAAAAACCAACATACTTGGATCAAAACATAAAGAAAGCATCCTAAAACTAGATATAAGCATGATATAGACAAGGTAGGATCTTTATACCTCAGATGAACTTGAAATGAAGCCCAACTTCTGGATCTACTCTCTTTCTACACATCCTTGCTCCTTCTTCTTCAAAATCACAAAGAGCACACAAAAGTTGGCTCAAAGCTCTCAAAAGTGAGTTAGAGTTTCGTGGCTAGGCTTTGGGATAATGGAGGCTATAAATAACGCTAGCTTATGGGGGTTAAGGTGTTTAAATATGGTGCAAAACCCTGAAAATTAGGGTTTCATTCTGCCAGCCTACTCGTCGAGTTGAGGCTTCCCAACTCTTCGAGTTTTTATATAGAAATGAATAAATTATGATTTTAAATACATACCAGAAACCATGCGTTACAAATCTCCCCCACTTATCTCAGACTTCGTCCTCAAAGTCTGCTACATCTAGAAATAGATCTGGGTAGTGCTCCCTCATCTTATCCTCTGCATCTTATGTCTATTTTGAGCCCTTACGGTGTTGCCACTGCATCTTCACCAACTCTACCCTCTTGTTCCTCGGATCCTTCGTCTTCCTATCGAGAATAGCTACTGGTCTTTCGATGTAGTTCAGGCTATCATCCACCTGAATATCCTTCAAATGCACAACTGTGGAGTCATCCACTAAGCACTTCCACAGCGAGGAGGCATGAAAATTGTTGTGGATCTGACTAAGCTCGGCTGGCAGATCTAGTCGATATGCAACTCGGCCCACCCGAGCCAAGTTCCTAAATAGACCAATATATCTGGGGCCCAACTTGACCTTCTTCTTGAATCGGATGACACCTTTCCAAGGGGACACCTTCAGGAGGACCAATTCCCATACTTGAAACTCTAGGTATGATCGACGCTTGTCGGCATAGATTTTCTACCGACTTTGAGCAGTATGGAGCCTGCTCCGGACCTGTTGGGTCTTCTCTGTAGTCTTGAGTACCAATTCGGTACTCCCCATGACCCTCTATCCAACCTCACCCAACATATCGGGGTTCTACACCTCCTCCATAAAGCATCTCGAAGGGAAGACAGTCGATGCTGGACTGGTAGCTATTATTGTAGGAAAACTCTACCAAAGGAAGGTAGATATCCCAGCTACCACTGAAGTCTAGTACGCACGCCCGTAGCATATCCTCCAAGGTATGGATAGTCCGCTTGCTCTGACCATCCGTCTGCAGGTGAAAAGCCATGCTAAAGTGCAAGAGAGTACCCAACTCATCATGAAAATTCTTCCATAATCTGGAAGTGAACTGCACATCTCGGTCAGAAATCACAGAAACGGGTACCCCGTGTTGAGCTACTACCTCCCGGATGTAGATGTTACACGGCTTCTCGGCCAAAATGCTCTCATCAATAGGAATGAAATGGCCACTCTTGGTCAACCTACCCAAATAGAGTCCACTCCATGTGCGGTCCTGAGAAGCTTCGTGATAAACTCCATAGTAATATCCTCCCATTTTCACACCGTAATATCCAACTACATCTTGTCGTGAGGTCTCTGGTGTTCGGCCTTGACCTTCCTGCAGGTCTAGCACCTCTCTACATACTTGGCTACATCTCGCTTCATGTAGGGCCACCAGTAATTAGGATGAAGATCTCTATACATCTTCGTCACCCCGGGATGGATGAAAAATCTGGATTTATGCGCCTCCTTTATCAGGATTTGGCGCACACCACCCGCGTACAATACCCACACTCTACAGTGGAGTGTCAATAGCACACGGCTATCATAGTCGAAGGAGGAAATCTGACCCATGATACGCTCACTTTTTCGGTGTTCCTATTTCATAGCCTCCATCTGGGCCTCCTGAATTCGCTCCAAAAGTGGAGTCACTACTATCATCCTCAGGTAAATGTCTCTGATCAAGGTTGTGAATACCTTGCGGCTAAGTGCATCGGCCACAACGTAGGCCTTCCCCTGGTGGTAGAGGATCTCACGGTCGTAATCCAACACCATATTTAACCATCGTCGATGTCTCATGTTCAGATTTGGCTGGTCCATCAAGTACCTCAAACTCTTGTGATCCGTGTAAATCGTATAACGAACCCCATAAAAGTACTATCGCCAAAGCTTAAGGGCAAAAACAACCGCCCCCAACTCCAAGTTATGCGTCGATTAGTTCGCCTCGTGAGGCTTCAACTGCCTCGAGGCGTAGGTGATGACGTTCCCTCTCTACAAAATCCAAGTTGGACGCATCGCAATACACTACAAAATCCTCAACGCCGTCTGGCAGGGCTAAGATCAGCGCCTCGCACAACCTCTGCCTCAAAGTCTCGAACATTTCCTGCTGCTCAAGCCCCTAGTGAAAGACAATAGCCTTCTTCGTCAGCCGGATCAGGGGTGCCGCTATCTTGGAGAAATCCTAAATGAATCTCCGATAATAGACTGCTAAACCAAGGAAGCTCCGAATATCATCCACAAAATATCATCCACAGAATATCATGTGACATATATATATATATATATATATATATATATATATATATATATATATATATATATATATATATATTGGGTGAGGTTCAATAGAGAACCATAATTAACCAAGGAACCAATCTTTTTTTCAACTTTTAAAACTTATTTTTTATATTATATATATATATATATATATATAGACACAGAAATTCATAAATTTTTATCCTTTTTCCAATGATATCAAATTCGATTTTTTTTACATCAAGTTCACAATGTGAATTTTTGAAAATTCACAACGTGAATCCGGATTCACACGTTGAATTCGAAAAATATTTTTCAAATTCACAATATTAATATATGAATTTATATATTTTTAGATTTTTTTTCGATAAAGAATAAGGTATAGAAATTGAAAAAAAAATTGTTTCCTTGAAAAACAAATAATTATGGTTCTCTATTGTACTTTTCCATATATATATATATATATATATATATATATATATATATATATATATATATATATATATATATATATATATATATATATGGATCAAATTAGAAACACATAAAAGATTGAGAACGCGAGGATATGTATATTTATTTGTAATTCCATGTATTCATTTATGGAGAAATTATAAATTTTTATGTACAATCAACATTAATATGCTTTTTCTCTTTATTTGAATTTAAAGGCTTAAAAATCTATCATTTTTCCACAAATGAATACTTGGAATTACAAATAAATATACTTTGTTATCGCGTTCTCAACATTTTTGGTGTTCTCATTTGATCATATATATATATATATATATATATATATATATATATATATATATATATATATATATATATATATATATATATATATATATATATTAAAAAGAAAAATATTTTAATGATAATTTTTAATAGAATAAGTAATTATATAATTGGTAGTGCCTTGAGAATTTTTCAACCAACTATTATCGAAATCTTTTATATGGGTAGTGACTCGTAAACAACAATTTTTTATCAAAAAAAATTATTCAGTATGAATCAATTCGTAGTTGAGAATGCACTGGAATTTGGTCTGCGTTAGTATGTTACAACATTTTTCGTTCTGTAATAATAACTCCCGTGTTCTAGCAGTGTATGATGCTTCTAATAAATAAGCTCACAATCTTTAATGAGCCCAACCTAACTGATAGTGGTTAGATATATGTCTCTTTCTTGAGTTATATATATATATATATATATATATATATATATATATATATATATATATATATATATATATATATATATAGTGAAGCATCTAGGATATATACGCACAGAAGCCGCCTAGCTAGATGATTGAACAAATTCTTATACGGATTGTCTCTGTTGAATTGAATTCCCAATAGCTCATGCTACCCTACGTACACTCTAGAAACAGATGCCAAAAGTTGACTGAATATTGTATATATTGCAAACTCCCTCCATCAACTAACATCATTAGGCACAGCCAGATGGACAATGACATAGAACAAGCTAATGGTGTTTTGGGCAAAGAGATCACATGCACTGGTTGGTTTAGATAATGTAAATTATATGTGGTTTATCGATCTTAATGTTCATGATGCCTGAAGCTTTTTGTATATTCATGATGCCTGAAGCTGCTGTGGCTTGGGGTCCTGGAAAACCTTTCTCCATACAACAAATTCGTGTCCAACCACCTCAGAAGTTGGAAGTCCGAATCAAAATCTTGTACACTTCAGTTTGCCATACTGATCTTAGTGCATGGCAGGGCCAGGTACGTTTGTAACTAACATATGTATACTGAGATATACATATCATTTACACTTAGTTATTAATATATGCACATATGTATAATTAATCACATGTAGAATGAATCACAACGAGTGTATCCTCGTATTTTTGGACATGAAGCCTCCGGGTAACAACTTGAATTGTAATTTTTGTTAATGTACGTATTTATTAATTTTTACATTGTTAGCTGTGGTAAGTGAGTTATGTTATGTGTGGATTGATGGGTAGGGTGGTAGAGTGTATAGGCGAGGGTGTGCAGGATATGAAGGAAGGAGATCATGTTCTTACTATCTTCAATGGCGAGTGTCGTAAATGTGCTTATTGCAAGTCTGAAAGCACCAATCTATGTGAAAAGTTTCGTGTGGATCCATTACGAAGCGTGATGAGGAATGATGAGAAGACCAGGTTCTCAACACAAGACGGGAAACCCATTTACCATTTTCTCAACACATCCACTTTTAGCGAGTACACAGTCATGGAATCGGCATGTGTTGTCAAGATCAATCCAAAAACTCCCCTTGACAAGATGACTTTACTTAGTTGTTGTCTGTCCACAGGTTATAGTCAATATATACACATATTCGCTATTTATTTTCGATCATAATTAAATATTAACCTACTGATTTCAACATAAGTCCAACGATTAAAATATGTGTGTCAAGGATTTGGAGCTGTAACCAATACTGCCAACGTTCAACACGGTTCAACAGTCGCAGTCTTTGGTTTGGGTGCCGTGGGACTGGCGGTAATTATATTAATAGATCTATGATTTTGTGAAATCAATTTTCATTTTTTTTGAATGAGGCGTCTTTGATATCAGGTCATACAAGGGGCCAAAACAAGAGGAGCATCTAAAATCATAGGAGTCGACATTAATGCGGACAAGCATATCAAAGGTATGTTATAAACTACAACTAGAATAAAACTTTAGTAACTCTCCTTAAAAGTCTTAATATTTTACTCTAATTTACGAAAAAATCTAAAACTAAAATTCGTTTACGAGAAAATCCAAATTACCGGTAAAAATAACGATTTGATCCATTTTTCCGGTTTATCGGTTTAATTACTTTCCTGTTTTTAATAAACTCTCATAATTTACGAATAAATTCCAATTTATGGTAAAATAATGAGACTATAATGATAAGTATGATAAAATAATTAGACTTTAATGAAACCCGGTAAGTATTGAAACCGATAAACCAGGAAAAAATAATCAAATCGTCATTTTTACCGGTAATTAAAACTTTTTCGTAAACAAATTTTACTTTGAGACTTTATCGTAAACTAAGATTAAATATTATGACTTTTCTGAAGATTTTCCTAAAACTTTATTGTTAAAACTTAAACAAATATATATTAAAAATAATTAACTATATAATAGTACTTTTTTGCATTAATTTGCTTTTGTTAAAATTTAACAATTTAACCATTTTATAACATCTATTAAAATCCTTGTTTGCACTTGACATATGATTAAAACTTAATTTAATTCCAGCAATATTACTTTAATTGTTGTGATTAATTAATTTAGATATTATTTATTTGAGTTTTGATAACATAATATAATTTATAAGTTTATGTTATTTTATATTATTGTTATTGTAATTAATTTAAAAACCATTTATTTGGGAAATTTCCAATTATTATAAAAAAAATTTGTTTTTAGTTTTTTTAGTTAATTTGACATGTCGGGTTAGTTTTACATTAAAACATTTAAACGTTTTAATCTATTTAAAAAAATAGTTTTTGAACATTTTAATGTTTATTTTATAATTTAATTTATATTTTAGATTTAACATAATATTACATCCATCACATATTAGTTTATTGTCCAATTTTAATTTTTGAAGCTTTTATTCTTTAACTTTAGCCTTATTATTTTTTTTTATATATAATAATTGATGCAAAATATATGAATGAATTTTGTTTTAAATATTTTTTTCATTGCTATAAGATTCATCAACTGATATATAACACAAATAAAAATATTTAAGATCAAAGTTGATAAATAAATACTTTAAAAATAAAAAATGAACGATAAATATAAGATAAGACAGATAGAATATTTAAATTAACATTTAAATTATATTATAACAGATAATTCAAAAATCTACCATTAGTTTGATAATATTTCACAATTAAATTAGTAAAATAGATATATTACAATAAAATACGAAAGACTTTGAGTCTTTCAATCATGATGAAGCAATTCCTTTATAATATAGTATATATACATGAATTGTCTTTAAGAGTTGAATGAATCTACTCATCAACATTTAATTAACTAATATTTACCCATAAATCTTTCCACTTTAATAAACTCTATTAAAGTTTAGTAGAATGACATATCACCATATTTTTATATTTTTTATATGTATTATTAAAACATAAAACTAAAATATTAAGTTAAATAGAAATTAAAAGATAGAAATTACTAATTAAACATTACAAGTTACAAATAGTACATTAAATTAATGTACAGTAGTGATATTAATCATCTAATACGTTTGAGTCAAGAACTCATCGAAGAAGTTCAATATTAGATTCAAAGAAACTTTAAGCTATAGATTCAAAGAAACTTTAAACTATGTGATAGTGGGGTAATCATGTTCTTCGACATGATTTAATGGGGATATTTGGAAACGTTTTAATAACATGCAATTTCATTATGTTCCGTTAAAAAACAAATTAAAATTATTGTTTAGACATTTAAAAGTAAGTTATAAACAAAATATATTTGCCTAGAAAATTAAAATATATCATTTTAATTAACTTAATAAACTAATTTATTGAATATAAAATAAATCTTTTATATATATATATATATATATATATATATATATAGAGAGAGAGAGAGAGAGAGAGAGAGAGAAAGACTATTCAAAATAACGCGCCAAGACGTGCCATGGCACGAGGCGTGAAAAAGTGGTTATGAAAAAAATGCAAAAAAATTTCTAAGACGTGGCGCCCAAATAACATGGTTAGGCGTGTCTTAAGCATTATAGCGCGAGTTTTTTTTTCAGATCAGCAATGATAGAATTGACTTGTTAACTTTTTCATGTTAAGTGTTGATATCACACTTTTAAAAGCTTGTTATATATATATATATATATATATATATATATATATATATATATATATATATATATATATATATATATATATATATATATGATATAATTCTATAGTTATGTGATTAATCTTTTTCAATGTATAAAAACTTATCATGCCTGGCTTTAAACTTGACATTGCTACCACGCCACGTGCCCACGTCTCACACAATTTAGAATATATATATATACTTTAAAATCCATAATACCCCGTTCAATCACGATTGAACTCTCGTTCAATAAATTGAGGCTAGAATAGTGGGTTATATAGCCACATCATCACTTTTTATTTAATCATGTTTGCCTGTTTGGTGGTGGTCCAATACGTGCATGTATATGATAAACTTTTCATTCAAAATATATATATACTTACATGCATGCATGATATATTAACTTATTCAGTTTTATATTCATAGGTCAAACGATGGGAATGACACATTTTATAAACCCGAGGGATCTTAAAGTGTCGACACATGAGGTAATTAGCTAGCTAGTATATGTGTGTATCATAAAATGCTACTTTTCTCAAGTATTCGATGTCATTTATATAAAGACAATTAAGAAAAATGTGAACTTATATATATTAGAGATTGAAAAGTGATGGAATGCATACAGAAAATAAGGGAAATAACTGAAGGAGGGGTAGACTTCAGCTTCGAGTGTGCAGGAAATCTTGATGTTCTTCGCGAAGCCTTCTTGTCGACCCATGACGTTAAGTATCTTTATGCCATTTTTTTGAGTATGGCTATTCTGTTGTAAATTAAACTTGATTATATAGTAATTATTTGGTATTTGTATACAGGGATGGGGACTAACAATAGTATTGGGGATTCATCTAACACCAAGAATGTTGCCATTGCATCCAATGGAGCTGTTTGATGGACGAAGAATCACAGGATCAGTGTTCGGTGGTTTCAAAGGGAAATCCCAACTCGCTCTCTTTGCTGACCAGTGTATGCATCAGGTATATATGTTTGTATGTATGTGTGTATGTATGCATGTATGTATGATTGATAGTATGTGAATTGAATGTGGACTCGTTGTTTCAGGATGGGATAAAGTTGGAAGAGTTTATTACCCACGAGCTTCCCTTTAACAACATCGACCATGCTTTCCAACTATTAGTTCTTGGAAAATCAATACGATGTTTGCTTCATCTATAAGACTATAAATCAAAAGAAAAATAAGTGATTCATTAACGTATGGTTGTAAGCTTTTCAATGAACTTGCAAGTATGTGGGTCAAATCTTTTTTTTTTTTATCGATTTAGGGTTGTTTGTTTTATTTTCCGATGGATCATATAATTTGAAAACCATTTCTTTCTAAAGTTTAAACTGGGACTCATTAGAACCATTTGAAAAACAACAAGATTTAAATATCTAAAATATGTATTTGTTCGTTTCCTTAGAAATCACGTAGATAGATTCAGGTCTACAATAATTAAAAATGGTGGTGGAATAGAATATTACGAGGGAATGAAAAAATCATGTTTCTTTGCTACGAAGAGATGTAATGAAGGAGTTCTCATGGAATGTTATTCTTCTACTCGTTTTTTATTCTTTTTTTAGAACATCAACGGTTATTGAATGAAGTTGGCGAGTAGCTAATAGTTACAAAGGCATTAAACATTGAGACTTTGGGCATCTAAGCCATCTATTCCAATCAATACAAGAACCTCTCCCGACTCTTTTAAGTCAATTAAGGGCCAATCTTGGGATGCTAATAGTTATCCGCATTCCCACCATTTTCAATCTTGGGATGCATGGATGTGTGATGATCTAAGTTCACCATTTGTGGGACTGAGACGTCATCAGTGGAAAAGTCACTCCACCTCGTTTTGTATTATGTGTAGGAAGAGTTTATTTTTCATTTCTTTAGGTAATGAAATGACATATAGTATAAATATAAATTACTATTAATCACACAATATTCAATAATACTAAAAAAATTAGGACTTTATTTAAATGTTTTTTTTTAAATAAGGAAAAATGACATATAGAGCTATAATGTTTTTGAAATTGGTTTAATCAATCCCTAAATTTGTTTTGGTGCTTCAAGAGGCATAAGATCATTTTTATTTGGTATAATTGATCATTTTGGAAGAATTGAAGGGGTAAATTAGTTACCATTATGTCATCTCATTTAAGAGATTGACTAAATTAGACATCTCTCTCTCTCTCTCTCTCTCTCTCTCTCTCTCTCTCTCTCTCTCTCTTTGAGCTTCATCATCTAAATTTAGTTTAAACCCATCTACAAAACCCCCAAATTGTGCCCCTCGATTTCTTTACATCGGGTAGAAGTTGTTATTGTATAAGCATTTCACCACCACTTCTTGACCATCGATCAACTTACCATAGTAAACAGTTTCAAAACCACCATCTCCAAGTTCTTATGAATCGTCAAAGCTATATGTAGCTACTTCCAGTTCATTACAAATAAGAACCCTAGTTCTAAAATAGGTGTTGGTTCCCAATTATGTTCTTAAGGAACAATAAAAAGTATACTTATCTGAAAATTAGTAGCAAATCATTTGCTTGAAACAGTCAGCACACTTTCTATAACGACCCAAAAATCACGACTAAAATTTTTTTAAAACATTACTAAAACCATATTTATAAAATTGTATCATAAGTCATAACATAATTTTCGAGTATTAATTCAAAACATAATCTCATTATCAAAGTAAAATATTCCTAGGCTAACTGACTATGGTGTGTGCACTGCAACCTCTCCGGGCTCCTCTTTTGAAAATTGAGTACCTGAAACCAAAACTGAAAACCGTAAGCACGAAGCTTAGTGAGATCCCCCAAACTACCACATACCATACAATAACATATAAAGCACATACTGGGCCTTGCCCATTGCATCGGACCGAGGTTCGGACTAACTGGGGCCCTGCCCCTGCATCGGACCGAAGTTCGGAAACTGACTGGGACCTTGTCCCCTGCATCGGACCGAAGTCCGGAAACTGACTGGGACCTTGTCCCCTGCATCGGACCGAAGTCCGGACTAACTGCATCGGACCAAAATCCGGATCTAACTGAACATAGCATAGCATAAACATATTAACTAGCATGAACACATATACTGCATACTGCATCGGGCCGTAGCCCGGAACACATAACATGTAAATCCTGTCTGAGCCACGAAGGCATCAAACATACTAACTACTGCATCGGATCGAAATTCGGAAACTACTACTAGCTAAACGGGTCGGCATTGTGGCCTTAAACATGTTCCTACTGGAAGGAAACTCACCTGGTACTGCTGAACTTGCTGATAACCCTCTAGCTGCTAACCGACAACCTTCTGAGCCACTGCTCCTCTAGCTCTCTGAGCTACCAATATCAAAATGATACTTAGTCTGACAGTCCTTCAAAAGTCAACTAAGTCAACTCTAGTCAAAGTCAAAGTCATGGTCACAGTCAACCTTCCAGGTTGACCCTACTCGGCAAGTCAGCTTACTGACTCGCTGAGTTCAAAAGCTATGAAATCCCTTTCATTCGCGACTCGACTCGCCGAGTCTACTGATTTCCGAGACCTGACCTATCCACTCACTGGGTCCCCACTCAACTCACTGATCCTAGTCTTAACTCGAAGGGTTTGGGGTTTCGCGACTTGACTCGTCGAGTCCAAGGCAATCTTCAACAGACTCGCCGAGTTGTTCTTCCAACTTGTCGAGTTGCTGCCTAGCTTCATCCAACTCGCCGAGTCCACCCATGTGACCCGCCGAGTCTCTTCAGTTCTTAATCCATACAGTGGCTTTTCGAGCCATGCAGGGGCTCAAATCCATAGATCCATTCCTCTAGAGCCTAACCCCCACGTAAAGTGGCAAACTTTACGTGTAACCAACGAGTTATAGGCTTAGAACACTCTAGGGCTAGGGTTGTAACAAAGGGGCTTCACCAACAACTTATTGGCCTAAACTTTATGACTTTCTGGGTTATTACCAACCTAGATCTGAGGTAGCAACCTCAGATCTACTCCAAACTTGAAATAGATCTCATCCATACTCAAAATGCCCAAAAATCAAACATAAGATAGATCTAGATGCACATAAGCCCAAACAACAAACTATTACCTCAAATGAAAGCTCCAACTGAAGTAAATCTCGGATCTACGCCACTCTTTGCTGCAAAGCCCTTGATCTTCAAGCCCCTCTCCAAGATTCTCTCCTCCAAGGCTCTATTCCCTCAAATAATGAAGGCTCACTCAATTCTAGAGTTTCTAGAACTCAAAATGGGAGCAAAGAGGCTGAGGGTGGGTTATAATGTGCTTTATATAGGGCACAACCTCTGGGATTAGGGTTTTTCTCGCCCAGACCAGACTCGCCGAGTCGGTCACTTACTCAATGACCCGGATCCCGCTCCGACTCGTCGAGTTCCTCCCTGGACTCGACGATTTGACTCTTGATTTAGAGCTTAACCTTTCTTTTCTTGATCTTCCTGATTATGGGTGTTACAACTCTCCCCCCCTTAAACTAGACTTCATCCTCGAAGTCCACCACGACCAACTATTTCACAACCCATTTACTGCTTACCACTAGCTATATACTGGACACTTTCGCTACTATAACTTAGTATTGAGTACTCATCAATCAACTAGTCGAATTCTACCATAGTCTACTTTCCATTGCTGCCACTGATTGAAAATTTTTGTTGTCCCTTATCCGCCTTCCGGATGAACCGAGACCACCCTGGTCCCTACTGATGTCTCCATATCTAGGTTACCGGACTCCTACCGGTTACTACACCCCATCGCAATCTCCTAGTCGCTTTCAGCGACTTCTGAAGATACCTCGACTACCTATAACTGTTCTATCCACTCTTCCACTCATACTTAATCGATGTTGTTGGAACCAGCCTGCTTATCTCTCATCTGACTACTCAACTTCCAATAACTCGAGCCTTCCATCCAAAAATAAAGGCTACCTGCCTAATTATCCTTGCAGATCACTTATACTTGGCAGAAAACTCAACTGATCCTGCTGAGAGGGACTTGCCATTTCAAATCGACCAACTATACTGTCAGCACTTACATTCCAACACAAATACTAATACTGGCCATCACACTGAAACTATCTGAAACACTGAACTTCCTGCAATAGAGAACTGCTTGAAACACTGAACTACCTGAAACACTGAACTGGCTGAAGCACTGAACTTGCTAAAACACTGAACTGGCTGAAACACTGAACTGACTGAAACACTGAACTGGATGAAGCACTGAACTGGCTGAATCACTGAACTGGCTATATGGCTGTTTCCCACAACATCTCAAGATCTTCCTGGTTTCCAATCATTCATTGGTTATCTGCAACACTAAGTTCCAACTCAACTGTGGAGCCCAAGGACTCCTTACTTAACCGCACCCACAACTTCTGAACAAAATCTTTCTCTGGAACTAGTTCCCACTAGTCATCCTGACACTGTGACTCTAACAACCTCCCGATCCAACCGACCGGGTCCATATGTCGAATCCTGACATCATCAAAATCCAAGGCTAAAAATGGTGGCTCCCAGACTCGATGGTCTGCTAAAGCTCATGAAACTCCGTAACCAGCCATTACACCACGATAGGTGGTGCAAACTCCAAGTAAAATCTCCTAACAAACTTGGCCCATGTCATCTCAGCCACACCGGCTGCTCCTACCTTACTAGTCACCTTTCCCCACCAAATCTCGGGCCCAATCCCTCAGCATATATGAAGCAAAACCCACCTTTTCTGCATCAGGGCAAGAACTCGTGCGATGGGCAGTCTCTATGTCCGCCACCCAGCGTTAGATAACAATAAGGTCCCTGACCCTGAAAAACTTCAGTGCCCCGCACACCTTGAACTCTCGAAACGAGGGAGTTCAGGCCTCGACCTGGCCCGCATCGATCTCGGCTCTGAATGCCCTGAGCCTCTCCTCCATGATCTCCATCATACCCTCCTTTACTGTCCCAAAGATAACTGGGGTAGTGTTAAGGATGCCCCTGGTAACCTCTATTGGAATAAGCTCTCGCAGCCTCTCGTCAATGGCCTCGGTAGTATCACCTGACCCATCCCCGAATCCATATCCCAATCCTGATCCCCTTGTTCCAAATCGTGTCACCACCATATTGCTCTGCAATCCCATAAAACATAGTGATCAGGATGTCCATAGAAGGGATCCACCCATACCAGTCCTCCTTATAGTTTCCAGATCTAACATTGGTTCGGGTACAGGTCATGTGCTTTCAGTAGTACGGGCCCAATACAACCTTCCACACCTACCTCTACCTTCCCAAGGCTCTACCTGATAACTCTAATTTTTCCCAAAACAAATCATGCCTCACAGACTACATATAGCTCAAATCCTAGGCTAACCTATTATTTCCTCCATCCATATCAAAAACAGAACTCAATCATACTAGGTTGCCTTATGCATGCAAATTATACACAAAAAAGGATCAAATAGACTTTTGAATAATAGACTCTACCCTAAGACCATAACCAGACAAGGAACAGGAAATAAGACCAAATCAATCATTCCAAGGCTATAAGACCCTAACCATATACAATTTTGAAAGCATATACATAGCAAAATTCATACGATTATCATAACTCACATATCAATATAACATGACTAACATACTGAGGGAACTACTTACTTGGCTTGGTCGATCGTACGCATTGCACTCTCTTTTTTCTCATTCTAAAAAGTTTTTAACTTTTATTTTTGAAAACAATTTTACCATTTCCTTAAGTGTGCCTGAATCCCTCAAACCAAGGCTCTGATACCAACTTGTAACGACCCAAAATTTTCAAATAAAAATTTCATTTTTAATTAGCCAAACATTCCCATAAAATGTGAAGAAACATTAACCACTGTTTTCAAAATTCATAACATTAAAA